TCGGAAAGGGTGCCGGTCCCCTTAACAACACATAAAAAGTTTAAAATCTGTACCACTCTGACCACTCATTTGAAAAAAAAAACACTTCGTCGTTACGTCAGAAATAAGAACAATAAAAAGAATTCGCATAGTAAAGAAATAATTTGTTTTTCACGCCTAACTCTGAAAAAGTTCCCTTATCAATCGAAGTATCGGTATCCATGTTGCATCGAAATTTCTGGTTTATCATAGAATCTTTATCCTTTTCAACAAGGAATTCATTTTTAGCCCCCAAATAAGGACACGGGATATGATAAACTATAAATTTGTGTAAGGTGCAATACATAATACATAAAATGTGCTGGGAACCTACAAAAAATATATACGGTATATATTTATGCGGGCATGAAGAAATAATTCTCATTTAAGTTTCCAAATATTTTTTAGGGCTATGGGAGGAAGCACGCGGGAGAAGTTTCAATAATAAAAGTGTCTCGAAAAACATGTAATGAATTACATGAAGCATCACATGCAATATAGTACCATGACTTTAATATACTTGAAATAAAATGTAATGCATAACATGAAGCATCATTTACAATAAACCTTGATTTTAATACCTGTTTAATACTAGTTTATAGCTAATGGAAGATTTCGAGATCGACGCCGAAATCACAATGTGGGAATCCCACTTTAGAAACGTAAGTGAAACATTGAAATCCATTTAAGGAGCTCCAGCATAAGAAAGCATAATTTCCTGGACATATAGAGCATTTGAAACACAAAATAACGTTCACATGACATAAATGGAAGACCAACAGGTTTGTCATGGAAGTTAAAAGAAACAGTAATGCGTTATCAAACTGGACAGAGCACTGCATATTCTATCAGGACTGAATGTCATGGAGAAATTAAAGGCTCAATAACAGCCCATACACTCAAGTTCAGACTAACATCTCAAGTAATTACATTACAGAGTCTAATTACAATGTACCTAATAGGAACAACAGAATAACTTAGGTACATATTAAGCGAGGACATTTCACAGTTGGAAATGATAATCGTAGCCTGCAGCTCTTACTGAGTATCAAACCAAAGAAGTTGACCGAAGGTTAACACTACGGTACCGTACTTTAGAGAGATCGAGGTGTTCAAGAGAATACTTCATTAACTTACCACCATAGAAATAATTATAAAAGGCTCGCAACATAAGTTTTTCAACTCAAAAGGTTTAGTTATAATTGTGCATAAATGAAGTGTGAAACGCTAATAATAATATGAATCAGTACGATATGAGATGGTTAAACCCTCCTGATAAGGTCTTTAATACACATAGTAGATGACTGAATCTACATAAACTGCATCAGTCACTCAGTGATCCAGACTTCATCTAGTATCTGAGAGGTGTAAGAATATATGTAATTTTTCTAACTATTCTAGGACATGATTGGTCAACACAGAAAAACACAGATCTTTCAGATTAAAGACTTAAATCCATGAGTTAGCAATAGGCGCTCGTAGCGCCAGCATAAGATAAAAAAATAGATTTGCTACTTTACTTATTTACCCGTCATAAGGGATACTACAACTACGCTGGTTCCATCCAGAATGTAATGTCAATTATATCAAATCCTGTCAATTACATCAAAGATTACCCATCATCAAAATATTGGCCTCATTTATAATGAAAATTAGTTAGTCATGAAGTCGCAACAGCAATAATAATCTATAGCAAATAAGTTTATCATAAAATGAAGAACAGCTCGAACGTTTGTAAGTTGTGAAGTTCTGAATCAAAACATCAAAAAATGGGTGTCTTCTATTCGAAATTAACGTAGCACTGGACAAAACTAACAAAATTTAGACAAAAAATTTTATTTGTGTGAGCTTTTCGCCTTGGAAATGCCGATCTTGAGTCCTACACAACTGCACTGAAAATACCGTACACCAACCGCAGTAATGCACTAGTCTTAAACCCAGCGTTGATGTCCTAATCCAAGAAGAAATGGCATTCAAGGTAAATGTTTTGAAATAAAGGATAAAAGTAACCCAACCTGGCAGGTATTCTCAAGCGTTTTCAATAAAACTTAGTACCAATAAATCTGTGACAGGAATGCATACGAGAATAATTTCCTATATGCTGGACTGCAGAAGGAAGCATGCAGCTCAATCAAAAACCGTGACGGGTGGTGACGGTGAGGTAACACTTTGCAGTGAACAGGCCGGCACGAATATCATCAGAGACAATCACCTGCAACACAATTATTGTACAAGTCAAATATTCAGTTAATTTTAATTTCAAGACATGGATGAGCTGGTAAGTTTTGTTTCGATATTAAACTGTAAATCATTAGTGAGAGGATTAGAGGAAGCCAAACTTAATCACACTTTGTTAACTGATGTACTGTGCTACAATAATCATACAAATTAAGGGCTTCACAATTGGTATAATCATTAATATATATTGCCAAGAAATAGTTTTTTTTTTTAATTATAAAGCTAATTTGTCCGAGTGGAGGAGAAATGTAGCGCCTTATTATTTGGGCTGTGCTATGGCCCGGTGAGCATTGTATGACACCTTTGAGTTTTTTAAGTTAATAATTATTGTAAATTAAGTAGGTATGTGCATATTGTATCAACAGATTGAGATAATGTAAAATGTAAAATTTGCTTAATTTTCAACTCTGTGTTTAAGTAGCTTGAATATAAAATCAATATAAAAAAATGCAATTCTGCATGGAACTGAGTTCAAAAAAGATGCAGGTGAACTGGAGTACGTATTTCTCTAATAATTACCTGATCATTCATAAACAATTTCCTCTTATTCATGGTAGAGACAACGCAATTTAACTTCAGTTAGCCAAGTCTCAAAATTTTGATCAGTCATTGATAAAAAACATATACAGATCACAATGATTTCTAAAAATATCATGGTTCACCAAAATTGTGATTGACATCAGCACTAGTACAAATAATATATTTGCCGAATTTTCTCAATTATTAGGACATTTATATTATTGTCATAGAATTATCATCAAAACAGTGTATGAAGAAAAGACTGTGGTATTTTATAAGGCATGCAAATACTGGTATTCATAATTTTAATACAATAAAATGGCACATATTCACTACCAAATTTATATTTCAATATGCATTCCGCTATTCAATATGCATTCCGCTACAATTTTGGTAGATACATGCAGTAGGATTTCTGATTCAACAATTATCAATACTAACAATTATATATATGTTAATATAATGATTCTATAACTTCTTACATGTGGCACCTAAGGTACCTTGTGCACAGAGAGCGCAGGGTCGACCAGGATAAGTCCTGTTCTGGCAACTCCCTCGCTGGTGTTGAGCATCCCACACGCCCTGGCCACCACATGACTCGTGTCTCCCAACATCGGTATGTCAGGCACTGGATAAAATGCTATTGTCCCCAATGCCTTCAGAGCCTTCATCCTGCCATGCCAAAATCTAATGTTAGAAAATTACTTTTTGACTCTTATTTACACAAGTTACTTATTTAATGGGATCTGAAATTTCGTCAGCCACAGTTAGCCAAGAGTGCTTATCATAATAGCATCTCGCTGTACATACTTTACGTTGCCATTCAAAAAGGCACGTTGGTTTATGTATAGTACCTATAAAGCTCATTCATCCTATTGGACAAATATAATGCCTATAATTTAGGACTGGGCTGTGACCAGGTTGCCTGTGAAATTTTTTTCAATGAATGATTTTCAGCAAAGCAGTATTTTGCACTGACAAGGAGGACAGTCACCAAAGGATTAAGTCAGATCAGTTCACCCAATGAAGAATGACAGAAGAAATATCAAGATTAGCAATAAATAAAGTTAACTCAGAAGAATAAATGAAACTCAAATTAATTAAGGTGATAAAAAAGAAAATAATTTTCAGGAATTAACAAAATTCAGAAGAAAAGCACAGCTTCAATCATGATGTCAGCCACAAACTTATATTAATGTCTTATGTTCATAATGCATCAGTTAAGAAAAGCATACAGTGTGCCTCAGTTACAGGTACAATACTAGATTTATAGTAGGTACTCAGTAATGGTCAAAACATAAATCATTTGCAGATCTAAAGAAATTTAAAAGCAAAGAAAACGCTAAGCAAATTAAAAAGCTAAGCAAATTCACCAAATCGATATTTAAAACGTTTCTGAGTCCAGCTCCATCATCAGTTCGAAATGGAGCTGGTTTGCTTCATCAGTTTCGAACTGATGATGGAGCTGGACTCCAAAATGTTTTCAATATTGATATGGTGAATTTGCTTGGTATTTTTTTTTTTTTGCTTTTAAATTCCTTGTGAACTTGCAATATGAGCTGACTGATAATATAAGTATTTGCAGGTCAGCACCATCAGCAAGAATCTTATTCACACAAATGTAATGTATACATGAAATATGTACCATACTCAATTATTTCATATACATAAACATATACATTTCAACATCATATAGCAGAACATGCCTTTTTCTAATCTATGAGGATAGCTATTTTTAAAAGCAAATTGAGGCCATGAAATAAGAAATGTAGTTGAAGAGCAATTCCACCAAAATTCACATGAAAAAATTCAATTGGCCATACAAAAATATAAATATTTTTTCAGTATTTTCATCAAATAAAGATAATGTAAACAACCATTGTTGAATCATTTTCCCTAAACTACAAAAAAATTCCATTAAAAATTTATATCAATGTCGACAAAACATCATGTCATGAGCCAAATGACTTGGTATATAAAATTAAGAAGCATACCACTATACTCACCATGCTAGGTGAGCATAACAAGAGTCTGTTGAACACAGAACTATGGAGCAGCCTATAAAACTAAACCATCTGTGACTGAGATAACACTCGCTGATAACTGAACCACCATTTTTCGGGTCAAAATCATGAGCGTAAAACACAAGGCATGTCCAATTGAGGCCTTCATTTGAGAGGGATGATAGTGAGACTGATGGGAGTATCTGGCCATTCACATAAGCAGGTGCACTAAGAGGAGGGAGGTGCATTCCTGGCGTCATCAGCACCATTGCTTCCTGAAATAATGAAATTCAATTACTAATGGAAAAAAGACCTCAATAAGAGAGAATATTCAAATGACCTTTACACCAAAATAGGAGCAAACTTTTTTAATTGAAGTATAAAACTTTTGATGCCTGACATCCAGAAGTCCTCCAGAAAAGAACACTTATAATTTTGTTTAAAAAATTAACTGATTAAATATTTTTATAGGTAGGACTGGGTTCTCTAATAAGGTCTCTTTAATAATTGAGTACATATCACAGAGGTGAAATTGGTAATACTTCACCCAACAAACAGCTATCTCCATCAAACCAATATCCTCTAACATAAAACATTGTTTTTGTGATTTCAAATATTTTTTAACCATTTATGTTTTTTATTGTTAATCAATCACCTTAAAATAACTGGATTCCCAATTATGATACCATTATACCATAATATACTTATTTTTAGATGGGAGAGGAAATAATGCTTGCTACTTGGAAGCAACTACATTCAACCCTGAAGCTTATTGAGCATATGTAGTCATGATAGGCTTACATTTTGGATAAAATTGCAAAAAGGCATGTCCCTTTTCTAAAAAGTTATGCTTAAAATGACAAGCAGATCTCTATTCTCTAACAAGGCTGCACTACAAATGATCAATGAATCAAATATATTATACTCACAGGAAGGTTAGTTTTGTGTGTCTGAGGTGACTTTGAGAAAGAGCTTGCTCTTGGTGGGACTGGGCCTTCATCTTTACGCTGAATTTTGGAAGCCTGTCGCTGCGACTGAGCTACCTCCACAAAACGTTTAAGCCCACTATTGCTCATCGTGAGTAAATACAAAATTTTCTTGTATATCACAACTTTAAGAAAATATACTACCAATTCAGCAATTTCACCTGCAAGCTCATTAAAAAACATAAATTACATAATAATGTATAATATAATAAATGAGATATCAACAAAACAACAACAATAAGATCAACAAAACAATAAGAACAATAGATGGCTAAATAAATCTTAGCAATATCTGTAAGTACATAATAAGTTTGCTAAAATTGCAGGATGCTAGCTGATCAAGAGTTTACAATAAAAAGGGAATGTAAAATAGTAAAGTAGCCTAAGTTACCCTGGATGTGTAACTTGGTAGTAAGTTAGTTCTATCATCAGTTATTTGTGCAGTACTCTCGCCTTGCGGTCTTGCTCTTGCATCTGCCGACTGCCGGCCCGCCGGCCGCCGGGCAGAGGCAAGAGGCCAGTACTCCTACAAGACCAGTAGTCCAGTTACTCTAGTACTCCAGTAAGAGCAAGACCAGTACTCCTAGTTACCTAGTGTACACACTACACTGTACTGTGTGTAGTGTATAATGTGTTTGATAAATCCTACCTACTTTCATTACTTTGATTGTCAACGTATCAATAGGTATTAGGTATAAATAACTAATAGCTAGGTTATAGGACTCAAAACTGAACTCAAGGGTAAAAAAAACTCTGCTTTGCCTGTTTGCCACAATGCCTACCGGCTACCATTACAAACACCAAGTATACCAACGCTTTATTAATCAGGGAGGTAAATTCAGGCAACAATAATTAGTTGGGAAATGTAACCTATTCAGGCTATTGTGGGGTGTGGGCGACTGGGCGTGGGGGTAGGAGTTATTATCCTTGCAATAAATTTTACCTACTCCGGGGTTATTTGTGGCCCGACTAAAGTTACTGGAGTTGAAGAGGACTAGCGAGTCTTGAGGAGTCAGGAGGGCCCAGCTAAACTCCTTAATTTTGCCGGCAACTTTAAACTGACCACATAGCCTAGCTACGTTACGCCGGTAAATTTCATCTAATTAAGAATGCTAACTTACATTTTTGTCATCTCACTTCAATTCTAACCATAATATCGTTTTTTAACTGAATAACAAAGAAATGTGTCAATAGTTTCCTTCATTAAATCACGAACGAATTGAAAAGCTGCTACTTATTCTGTCACATGTCGGCCGGCGCTGATAGCCTACTGCCGGCTTACTCGTGTTTTTTACTTTCTTAATTACAGGATAATTTAGTGCAACGCATATTCATTACCCTAAAAAAATTACAATCTAGTATAAAAAAAAGTGAAAATCGTACAACGCTTCAACTGCCCTGACGATTTTTTTTTCAGTAATTAATTTTGCATAACGACAAGAGTATTTTTCATTATTAACTTAGGTTTACCAATACGCAAATAATACCTAATATACGTTTGTCATTGCTTTGCGACCAACCGTCTTGCGGCGAGGTATTTTTAGTTTTTTTGCCGTAATAATTAGGTACAGGCAGAGCTACTTGAATACTGGAAGTCAATTTTTATACATAAAATATGATATTATGGAAAATAAATACAATTTTGACCAATTCAACTATTACATGAATAATATCTTCATAATGATTTCGATTATCATTTACCAAACGAACTGACTGCCATCAAATCGAGCCATCGTCTACATTGTGTCAATATTGCGACAAATTCCTTACACCAAAGTTGATTTTCAACCTTCATGTGTCAAATTAAATAACATGTTTTAGGGTTGGTCATTCAAATTAGTCTCGAACCCATCACATTGTCCACTTACGTATGCAAGATTATCCGATGACCACCTGGTGCATATATTATTCGCGTCTCATATCTATAATATTCACCCTGTGCATGTTGGTTTGTTCTAGAGTTCATGTAGGTCGAAAATTTAATTCACATGAAGGTGCTATTCTACTTGACCCGGACGGTCGCATAGAGCGCGCTGGTCGTTAAGTAAACGGTTACACGGTTTAAGTAAATGGAAAATCTTTCAAATTACGACTATTTAAAGTGACACAAGTGACCTTCACAAACCATTTACCGTGCTGCTACAATCTAAAATGAAGATCGCTCTCGTGGCCTTTCTTAGTAGCAACTCGAATGTAGTTATTCATACCTTCAAAAACGAGCTTCAGGAGTATTCGGCTAGGTTTCCCAGAGGAACGGTGGAAAGGTTTGTGATGAATGGCCACTCAATGTTGTGACCATTTGCATGAGCGGGGGTGTTAACAGCTTATATTATCACCTTTAACAATCAATTGTCTTTCTCCTATAGGAGATTAATAAAATTTGGAGGTAGACGTTTATATTCCTGCTAATTACTACTCTTAATTGCGGCCATCAAAAGTTCTAACGCAGCAACCGCAAATTACACCCGTAATAAAATATATTGAACACATAGCATGGCGGAGCTTCTACTGCACAGTTGTTCTCAGTTTTTGCGCGGCGCTCACTTCGAGTTCACGTTCACTGAATTCGGTTGATTTGATATAGTTTGCGTCTTATGTTCAAATTAAACCGGGCTTTGCTTCTGTTCATACGATGCAGTAAGAGAGGTGAACCAATCTGTAATTAATACTGGTTGACCCCTTTCTATTATTCAACGTACTTGATATGGCAAATGAGAGTAAAATTTAACGTGATTCGCGAACTTATGCACTGGGCAGTGACAACAGACGTATAAATTAGTGGGTTTAGCAATAATTGATATGAAGCGAAGCTATACAAAACCATGACTAATCGTTATTCTTCGTTCAAATGGATCCCTTACGGTAAAGTTACTCCGATCTTTCTTAGATAAAGTTTGTTTGTTCGACTATTTTCTATATTTTCAATAAGGTTTGAACGTTATTAATTAAAAGTTCATTACCATCACCAGTAGTGGGTAAACTTTCTGTGCTAGCAGCACCAAATTTAGGTACTAACCTGTATCTATTGAGCTTGGTCAGACACGCAATCGAGTGTTCTCCGAAGTGCGCGTCATATAATAACTTCCTAATAATAATATAGAAAGTATCGACGAAAATTGTTCAGAGGTTCGTCAACCATGTTCATGTCTCAGATTATTTAGTTTACACGCCGTTACGGTTGAACCTTCTGACGTCAGTACAATAGTAATTTAATTACACTATTCGTTTTCATTCCCTTCAATTTTGCTACATATCCTCCTACAGTTGTTTCAAATAATTGTGCGTTTTGGAAGAATTATTGAGAATAAATTTATAATTCCAACACTCCGGGTGTAGCTGCAAAGATGAACTAAAGCTTTTCGCTGCTCGTTCAGCTGCTGCAGCTTGTGGCAGCTGGAGAGTTCCTGCATTCGGGGTGTTGATGAAAGACGTCATCATCGAGCCCAACGTGACTTACACAGGGACGCTGTGCGAGTTGTGCGAGTCTTTGCGAGAGCGTCCTTCCATGAGTAGTCCAAACTTCTTATCGCACAGTGCCACTGCGCGTGTGCCAGTTCTGATCTATCGATACCAGCAATCTTACCAGTCATCGTAATCTATCCCAGTCCAATTAGTGAAGTGAGGATAGTTATATCGTTAGAGTGAGGTACAAGATTCACCGCCTACCAAGTTAGATTTCATATCTACGGCCAGATACACATAAAAAATTTTACGGGCACTACTCTGTCCAACCTACAGCCATGGGGGGGGGCTATAATTTTACTGCTGATTAACAGTGCTGCTCGCTGAATTTGATCGGGCAACCTATTATAATAGGAACGCTTAATCTTCTGTGTTGAAACCTTGTTAACGTTCAACATTTGCTTGAAGAATTATTGCTAGAGTAAATTTTTCATTAGATTTCTTAATCACCGCTAAATGTTAACCGTTATCAAGGCTTCAGAGCGACTAGTCATGTCACTCTGGAACGCCTAGAATAGAATAGAAGTGTCGGCGCTGAAGCAATAGGCCCATGGCCTGTTGCCGATTCTTGAACTTTTCGTGACTTGATTCACAAGGGATCCGGCCTTTGGAACCCGGTCTTTCCATAACTGACGATTGATTGAGATAGCTGCTGCACTTATTGCCTGGGGCCGGATTATCAAAACTTCGTAACTTTTTGTGCTTACGACAAAAAAGTTATGTGGTAAGTAAGTACACCCTAATTTTGGCATTATCAAAACTATTGTACGCAAGTCTTAGCTAAAAGCGTAAATAAAGCGTAAATGTTTTCCCGCGCAAATGTTTTGATAATACCACCGCTAGAATTACGTTTTCATAGCAACGCCACCCGTAAGTCGATTTTGCGTACTTACGAAGTTTTGATAATACGGCCCCTGGTCCGTAATTTGCTAGGCAATCAAGACTGAACATATGCTCCCGCGTAGCTTCTTCTAGTCTGTTCTTGAAGGCGTTCATACTCGGAGCGCCAACAATGCTCTGAATAACGCGACAAATATCTTCATGCAATTAAGTTTACCAACCGATGTGTGCCCAGCATCTCGACTTATAGCATCCACCGCGTAATGCTGCGTGTGTGAAAGCAGAGAAGAAGACGGATGCATGGATATTTTTATTTTTAAGGGGACCGGCTACCCTCCGAAAAAACTTCTACAGTTATTATCCGATCATCATGACACTTCACATACATACGTAAAATGTAAAAATAAGAACATTTTGCTTAGATGAATTTTTCGAAAAAATTGATAGAAAACGTGAAATTCATAGAAAACGGCTAAAAAGGGGTACTTTAGAAAATCTATCTTCTCCTACAAATATCATCCTACAACATCGAGACACGTATCACTCTGTTCGTAAGGAGCATACCTAAAAATTTGATGATCACTTTTTTCATTTTCCCCTTAGTTTGTTTTTTATGCGCGTTTTATCCCATTTTTCTCATTTTTCCCCCCTCCCCCCCCTTCTCCCCCATATAAAAAACGAGCCAGACAGAAATTCAAAAAAATGATCATCAAATTTTTAGGTTATTTCCTTACGAATCGAATGGTGTATGTCTCATTGCTGTAGCTTGAAAACTGTAGGAGAAGATAGGTTTTCCGTGACGATAAGTTGAACTTTTCAAACTTTTCAGGACGGCGCGACAAAGTCCCATGCGCCTCGAAATAGGCACTCAATGTAGCATGGATACCAAACTACAGGCTTCTGTAGCCTAATCCACTCAAGGATGCACTTAGGTCTATTTAGTGAAGGAACTCCACCCCCCGCCCCCCATTAAAGCCCGGTCGTCAGCGTCAATATTGCCGTACATGGATCGCAGTAGTATCGTTGGAAAGCTCAGAATGTCAGCTTTAAGATGAGACTAACCATGTAACTGCAGGACAACTCGAGTAGAAACTATATTCAAAGATTTCAGCAGCTAATTACTTTATATCTAATTACTTAAAGAACTCTCTCACCCGCTTCTCTTTAAAGAGACGTCATGAACGTAAATATTGGCGTACAGCGATGGCAGTGGTACCATTGGAAAGAGCAGAATTCCAGCTTTCAGATGAGTACAAAAACCGGAAAACGCCAAAATTGAAAATTTTAGGGTAGCCGGTCCCCTTAATGGTACCACAGTTCTAACAACACGAGCAAGACTCGGGAATCACGCCTATGCTAATGATGCATATCTCAGCGTCTATGTCGCTCAACATGCAGGACGATCGCTATGCGACACGTCAATTTCAACAGTTCACACTATTCTCTCAACAGAAACTTCAGAGAAACTAGTTTCGTTCATTAAGTTGGAATATGCCAAGCTTTTACAGATTCGGGGAGAGTTCCGTCGCTTCATCGCTCTTTGTCCTCAATTCATCAACGATTTTCTCTAGTCTACTGTAACTCTACAACACATTTTAAATACTCAACTTAAACACAAATGCGATAAGTGGAACCAAGCACAGTTAACCTGAAAAATTCTTTCCACTTAAATACTTACACGATCAACAATCAACTCCTTGCTTTCACGGCCCCAACCTGAAAGCGCTCCCAATGCACCTGAACCATCGGCCAAAGAAACTATAAATTATCTACTCTTGGTTACCCTCGACATCATGGGTAGTAACGTCGAGAATTCCTGCTCTGTGCTAAATTTCTAATTTCGTATATTAAACCTTCCACTAATCGATCATATTGTCAAGTGCTCA